CAAACTCACTGCCGTACCTCATAGTGTATAGACATACCCTGTAGTGCTCATTCTGATGTCAACATTTCTGGCTAAGTCAGCATCTACATAGCCTGTCAGTATCGTATCTCCACCTTTGAAATAAAGTGTTTTGTTTTTGGTACCCCACAGATATCTGAGGATCCATTTGAATGCTTCTCATTGTACTTTGCCTGGATTATTCATGTACCTGCTAACAACACCCACTGCTTGAGCAATATCTGGTCTGGTACAAACTATGGCATACATCAGACTTCCAATTGCTAGGGCATATTGTACCTTCACCATGTGTATACGTTCTTCCTCCGTCTTTGGTGACTGTTCTTTAGAGAGTCTAAAATGAACACCTAAAGGTGTACTTACTGGTTTAGCATCTTGCATTTTGAACCTGGAGAGTACTTTGTTGATGTACTCAGCCTGTGATAACATCAAAGTCCTGACTTTGTGTCTCTCTTAATCCTCATCCCAAGAATCTGCTTTGCAGCGCCCATATCTTTCATTGCAAACTGTTGCGATAATTTTTGCTTCAAGTTTATAATCTTTTGCATGTCTAAGCCTACAACGAGCACGTCATCAACGTACAATAATAAAATAATAAAGTTGTTGTCGAACTTCTTGATGTAGCAACAATGATCTGGTTGACATCTGGTAAAACCACTGCTACTCATGAAGCTATCGAACTTCTTGTACTACTGTTTAGGAGCTTGTTTTAAACCATACAAGCTCTTATTCAACCTGCATACTAGGTTTTTCTTGTCTGCCTCTATGAAGCCTTCTGGTTGCCTCATATAGATTTTTTCCTCCAAATCACTATGAAAGAAAGTTGTCTTCATATCTAACTACTCAAGATGTAAATTCTCTACAGCTACAATTTTCAACACCAGACTGATTGTAGACAGTTTCACGAGTGGAGAGAAAATTTCATTATAGTTAATACCTTCTTTTTGCTGAAAACCTTTGACAACCAATCTTGCTTTATAGCGTTTACTCCCATCGTTCTCTTCTTTGATCCTATAAATCCACTTGTTATGGAGCGCTTTATTGCATGGTGGTAATTCAGCTAATTCCCACGTCTAATTTGACATAAGCAAGTACATCTCATCTTTTATGGAAGACTCCCACTTGACCGAATCCTCCACCTGCATTGCTTCATCATAACACTCTGGTTCACCATTATCAGTCAACATCAAGTAGTGCAAAGAAGGTGAATAACACGGGGTTGGTTTAGGAATTCTAGAGGATCATCTCAGTTTTGGTGTGCCCAGTTCTTCTTGAACTGCTTCAGGACTGATCTGAACATCATTTTCAGAAATCTCCTCAAACTCAGAAAATTCCTTTGTTTCAGCTTCGGTATTGTAGCTACTTGATTCTATGGTTGACCTGTCTTTGTACATCACATTCTCATTGAAAATGACATCTCTGCTTCTGATGATCTTTCGATTTTCATAGTCCCAAAACTGGTAACCGAACTCATCACCACCATAATCAATAAAGACACATTTGTTGGACTTTGTATCAAGTTTACTTCTTTCAGCAGAATTTATGTGTACATAAGAAATACAACCAAACACTCTTAAGTGTAAAAGGTTTATTTCTTTTTTGCTCCAAACTTTCTCTGGTATTCTACCATCCAAAGGAACTGAGGGCCCATGGTTGATTAGGTAAGCTGTAGTGTTGATAGCTTCAGCCTATAGCAATTTGGGCAATCTGACATGTATCCTCATGCTTCTGGCACGTTCATTCAAAGTTCTGTTCATGCACTCTGCTACGCCATTCTGCTGTGGTGTCATGGGAACTGTTGTCTCCATCTTGATCACATTGTTTGAGAAAAATTCTCTGAATCTGCTATTTCTGTACTCTCCTCCATTATCATACCTCAACGACTTGACTTTCAGACCAGTCTCATTTTCCACCATGGCCTTTTATTTTCTGAAGGTATCAAAGACTTCTGATTTCTTCTTCAGAAAATAAACCCACACCTTCCTTATAGATTCATCGATGAAGGTGACATAATATAGTGAAACTGCAAGAAATGAAACTTGAGATAGTCCCATACATCAGTATGAACCAACTCTAACTTTTCAGCCTTGGGTGTCTTGCCAATCTTTGCAAAACTGACTTTCTTTTGTTTACCAAAGATGCAATCCTCGTATAGTCGACATCTACATTATTTAGATCCGGCAACTTCCCTTTTGACAAAAGTTATTTATCCCTTTCTCGCTCATATGGCCAAGCCTTTGGTGCCATAGGTTTGTTTTTCCATCGGTATCTGCTACTGCAATGATATTCTCTAAATTTGAGGTTACATAGAGAGTATTAGTCTTCTTACCACGAGCAATGACGAGTACTCTTTTGGTAATCTTTCATTCACAACCTGAAAATGTTCTATTGTATCATTCTCTATCAAGCTATCCTACAGAAATCAAATTTCTTTTGAGGCCAGGAATATGTCTCACTCCTTTTAGCTTCCACGTGGTCTTTTCCTTTGTTATGTTGAAACCAACATTGCGGGATAACGTCAGTCGGATAACTCTGAGGGCTTGTCTGTCGAGAAGAGCCCAGTCTTCATTCTTCATACCATCTGGTTGCTTTCGTGAGAGAGATTGATATAGATTTTTCTGATACAGAAAATCCTCAATCTGCATCTTCCAAAAGCCAAAGTCTACAGTATCAAACATCTCAATTTTCACATTTCTTTCGTCTGTAGCCATCATTCCCACTCGAATCTGATTTCGTTTGGATCATTTCTGACAATTTCTGCGAACCACCGTGTATTAGAACACCTCCATCGACAAACTCGTATCGCCGACCAAATTTCACTATTCACAAAATTTACTATTAACATGAATAGTAACTTCGCAAAAAAACCTACAAAATTCACCTCCAAAAGCTCTGATGTCAGTTGTTGGGAAATAAACGAGTAATTTCCCTATAACCAGATTAGTGAGAATGCAAAACAAAAACAGAAAAATAATACCCAAAATTGATAACGGAGTTCAGCCAATTTTGCCTACGTCTCCGGACTATTGCAAATCTTTTACTGAAGAGAGAAAATTTACAGGTGTTTACAAAACACTCACAACTCACAAGAAAGCTCTCTAGTATTGGGAGAAAGAAATGATTTGGGATGATTTTGAAGCTAAATGAGCTAGGGTATTTATAGTTGAAGCTTAAGGACTAATCTTGTAAATATCCTAAAGTACAATGACTAGATTGTGATTCTACCATTGTCCAAATTCAAAAATTACTGCACCTTTTCGGTGCCCCCTTTTGACTAAAAAATTCGGTGCCAATTGTTGCACTGAAATGTTGATTTTCAACAAGCCATTAAAATTGACTTTAACATACTACAAGTTCCTTTTGGTTAATATACCACGTTCCATCTTAATGATGCAACATAAGAATAATGTTCTGTTTACATCAATTTTTTTCATATGAGTGGTAGAACTTCGTATTACAATCTCCATGAAGTATCAAGTTACAATAGGACTTTTGGATCCAAAGACTTTCCTCCTATTCAAGAATAATCTCTAACTCGCCTTTAAGTTTTTCCTCTGAGTCTATTAGGAAGCTTGAATGTTATTAAGAAAAGACTTGTTCAATGCCTTTTAAACGAGCTAGAAGTTGTATTCCAATCAACAAGCTTCTGCTGAAACAAACCAAGCTTGGTAGGAACGTCACCATGAAAATTCCAAGCATCATTAAGAAGCTCTTTAAAATCCTTATGTTGCTACCAGGAAATTAAAAAGCGAAAAGGTTTACCCATAACAAATCACATTAAAGTTGGTTTTATACGAAGTAATAATGACCGATGATCGGAGCTAAGCCGCTCAAGGTTGATTACGCTATAATCCAAATAAATGCCTTGCTAACAAGAATTTACTAAGCATCGGTCCAACCCCTAATGCAAAGAACCACGATACCAAGTGTATGGTAGACCCCAATAGCCAAGATCAATAAGAGCACAATCATCCACAAAATTAATGAACATCTGACTAATACCAACTCGCCTTAAAGAAGCTCTCTTTCTTTCACCACGAGACAAAATGGCATTGAAATCACCACCCAAAAGCCACAGAGACTGGACTTAGACTTTCTAATTTAGTCTATAGGTGCTTTTGAATGGAGATGTGAGGACTCACATAGACACAAGTAATAAAAAATTGGATTTTCTAAAACATTTGTCTGAATAGAGTAATGAATAAACTGATTCAAAATAGTCAAAATGATCACATGTATCTCATCCTGCCAAAACAACCAAATTACCCCACTAAAACCTTGCGCTTCAACATGGAAAGAATTTGTAAACCCAAATTTAGCAACAACAAAGTCTGCTTTAGAGCCAATAATTCTAGTTTCCATCAAAGCCATAATAGACGGTTTATGTTCACGAGATAATTGCTTGAATTACATGTGATATGTAGGGCTAGTGACCCCTTGACTATTCCAAGAAAAATGCAGTCAACCATAATTATAATTCTGTTTGAGGAGCTGGTGGACCATCACCTTCAGTATCTACATTATTGGACAAAATCTTCATGGCGAGGCCAATCATATTCTCCTTTCCAGGTTCTTTTCGATCCCTTGGTAAAACATATGTATTACCCAAAAAACCCTCCCTATTTGATGAAGAAGGATTAAACATATCCGCTAGAACCGAGCGTAAATATTTTTTTTGGTTAAGTAAAATTTTATTCATCCAAAAGAAAGCAGTAAAGCTGCTATAAAGAACAATACAAACACTATATTAACCCCCAATTAAGGCACAACTATCTATTTACAGCATCAGTCCTATTCATATGACATCTATGAAGCTTAATTCTAACAACCTCACTAATTCTATTTACAATTAAATCAGTCGAGCGAGTCATTGCTCTAAAACATATGTGATTTCACTCCTCCTAAATAAAGCAGACGAAACTGGTCCAAGCTAACTTGAGTATATAGATCAAGAGGGACTTACCTTTAAAGTTCAAAATCATTCAGCGTATAGCATCATCCCAGCATCTCGGCATTTGGTGATGCAGACCACAAGTGAGCATAATTACACGCCAAACCTCACACGCATAGGAGCACTCCAAGAATAAATGGTTTCGAGTTTCCTGATTAGCCTCACACAATCCACATAAATTGTCAGTAACAATACCAAAATGCCCAAGTCTGTCCTTTGTTGGCAGTCTATCCAGCAGCACTATCCAAGCAACCATAGAGAATTTAAGAACATGAGCTGGGAACCAGATCAACCGATGCCATTCCACCTTTTCTCTCATTTCTATGATATTGTCCCAAATCCATCTGCCCTTAATTTGTGACAAATTAGCCATAAGACTGAAAAATCTTCTAGCCTCCTCCCTCATCTTGATCAGTTTGTAAATAATCCAACTGAAGTGAGATTTGCTATTAACCTCCCGATAGTGTACTGATTTAAAACAGTAAGTCTTCACCCAAGCAATCCATAAGGACCCCTCCTCAGCAAGAATGTTTTTAATAAGCATGAAACAACAAGCCTTGCTCCAATCAGCCAGCTTCCTAAGGCCTAAACCACCCTAAGATTTAAGGGTGCATACCTGATTACAGCTAACTCTATCCCCTCTTGCTGAAGTATCACTGTCCTTCCAGAAAAACCTCAAGCAAATCTTCTCAATATCCCTCATAACCCCTTAGGCAATATGATCTACCTGCACCAGTAACCAAAAATACTGAAAATGACAGACTTCACAAGTTATAATCTACCCCCAAAGCTGAGTTTCTTGCTAGACCATTTGTCAATCCTACCTTTGATTTTCACAAGTAAAGCCGAGCAGTCCTTACTTGTGAGCTTACGAGTAACCAAGGGTAATCCAAGATACCTAACATGAAGCTGACCTATCCTAAAACCAGTAGCACTTTGGATCAAATCAAGCTCATTCCTAGCCACTCCACAAGCAAACAACTCAGTCTTCAAAGCATTCAACTTAAGACCTGAGAGTTCATAAAACTTTTCAAGAGTACTAATTACTCCCAATATAGCATCCAAAGACCCATGACAAAACAAAAGTAAGTCATCAGCAAAACATAGGTGAGTGAGGGGAATTCTTTTGCACTTATGATGAAATATGAAAACATAATTCATTGTTGCAGTATTCAAAAGGGCAGATAATACATTCATAACAATAACAAAGAGATAAGGGGATAGAGGATCCCCTTGCCTCACCCCCTTGCACCCTTAAAAAATTACACCAAGCTTTAATTTAAAGATATTGAATAACTAAGGGTGGTAATACAAGCTTTTATCCATCAACAAAAAACCTCAGGCAATCCCATAGCTTCCAAAATAGTCATTAAAAATCCCAACAAATTGAATCAAAAGCCTTTTGCAAATCAATCTTAATAGTGCATCTAGGAGATAGATTCTTCCTAGAGTATCCCCTTACAATTTCTTGGGCAAGCAAAGTGTTATCAGCTATGTTTCTACCCTTAAAAAATGCTGACTGGTTAGGAGAGATCATGTCAGGGAAGAACAAAGCTAATCTAAAAGCTAAAATTATAGTGATTGTCTTGTAAATCACTGAGCAGTAAGAGATGGGCCTAAAATCCTTAGCCATGCATGCATTTAAGGATTTAGGGGCTAAGAATAAGACAGTGACATTAAAGGCAGGCAAGAGGGTTGAAGTTTGAAAAAAGTACCTTACAGCATTAAAGAAATCATTACAAATAATCTCCCATGCAGCCTTGAAGAACCAAGAAGTGTAGCCATCAGATCCAGGACTTTTATTGTTTCCTTGTCTGAACAATGCAACTCTGATCTCAGCATTAGTGATCCCAGCAGTAAGAACATCAGCAGCACCAGCAGGAAGGGAATAAGTCAGGAAAGATTTAAGCCACTCAGCAGAACAACCCTTCACACTAGAGTCAGCAGTTCTAATAAGATCCTTGAAAAATTTCTCCAGAACAGCAGCCATATTCTCAAAAGATTCATGATAAATCCCACCATCATCTTTAATAACCTTAATAGTGTTCCTCTTCTTGTTTGCTTCTACTCTCTGATGAAAAACCCTAGTGTTCAAATCAACTTCTTGTAACCAGTGGACCTTAGCTCTTTGTTTATAAAATTCAGATTCAGCATCTTCAAGAGCTACTAGATCATATCTAAGTTTACTCTCCTCTTCCAGCCTCTTTTGATCCACATGAACAAGATTAAAAAGCTGAATTGATTCCAGCTCAGCCCTCTTAATAGCTACTATGCTAGAAATATCTGAAAAATAGCTACTGTTTAATTCCTTTAATAATGGCTTTAACCTCTTCAATTTATTAAAAAGCAGCTGCATAGTATTTCCCCCATATTGCTCTTGCCAAGAGTCTTTAACAACTCTCAGGAAATTCTCATTAGCAGTCCAACAATTAAAAAACTTGAACGACTTTGGCTTATGAACCTGAGCCTTTTTCTGAGTCCAAATAACACCAGGACAGTGATCTGAAACACCCTGGGCTTTAAATTCCATAGCAGAGTCTGTAAACTCAAATAACCATTGAGGGTTTATTAAAACTCTATCTAGCTTGCGAGCTAAGAAGGAATTTTCTTGCTTGTTGGACCAAGTAAAAAGAGGACCAATGTATGGATGATCTTGAAGTTCCAAATCCACCAAACACTCCTTAAAATCATCTATGTCAGAATTCTTGTACATACCCAAACCACCAAAATCATAACTCTCTTGAGCACTTGAAAAGATGTTAAAATCTCCCCCAATCACCCAAGAAGATGAACCAACATCAGATTCTAAGCTCTTAAGATGGGCCCATAAGCCTCTCATCACCAGACTGTTGTTACTGCCATATACAACAATAATAACCATCCTATAACCCACCACATCACCAATAATTGAGATAGCCTGATCACAACCCTTAAGAACAGAGAAAGGTAGACCCCTTTTCCAAAGTAACCAAAGTCTACCTCCATCAGAGAACTCATAATTATTTGCTAAGTTCTAGTCAGCAGCCTGTGCATCAGAAAAACTAGGAAAATTAACTCTCCTAACTCTAGTTTCCATGAAGCATAAAACATCAACTCCTAAATTCTCCAATCTTCTAAACACTTTCTCTTTCTTGAGCCTATTATTGAGCCCCCTAACATTCCAGAAGCTTATAATCATCTATTAATGATAATAGAATGAACACCAGTACTAGCAACACTAACCCCAATTTCTTTAGCCTTCACAAAATGTTCCTTCTTTTTAGATTTAATCTCATTCAGGAGCATTGCAACCCCCAAGGAGGTTGCCCTAGTCTTTTTATTTCCATCAATAACACCACCTTCTATAAGCGAGTCCATCTTACTAGATGAGCCTGTATTAATCATCTTCTTCCGACGTGTCTTCTTCTTCTGAGCTAAAGAGTCTTGCAGGGAATGAAACTCACCGCAGCTAGTGTTCTCCAGATCCACTGAAGGCAAAGACTTCTCAACCGCAACCCCTGACAGGCCTTCACCAACTTGGTCAACAGAATGTTGTAAATTCTTGCCAGTTACATCAGAAACAACCTTAACAAGATCTTGAGAGAAACCAGTATTATCCTCAATAATCACTTGCATTGTATCTCCTATACGTTCTTCTAGAGCATGAACTGACAGCTCCTCAGCATCACCAACCTTTAGCTCAGAAGATGAAAGCTTAGGCACCTCTCCACAATGTGCAGCAGAATTAGCTACAACATTGACAGTTTTGTCTGACTTCTCAAGAAAACCTGGGTTAGAATTTTCTTTCCTCGTCCAAATCAAATTATCTTTAGTTTTCCCCTTAGCTTTAGTATTCTCAACACATGACTGAGTCTGATGCCCAAAGATATTGCACTGAGTACAGAATTTAGGGAACCAAGGAGCTTGGACACGAATCATCACTACAGAGCCATCCTGCAATACTACATTGATTACATCTAGTAACAATGTCCCAGCCTCAACCTCTACACATACCTTGGCAAATATCTCTCCTTCGAAGCAGTAACATAATCTATATATAAAGGGATCCCAACAGCACTAGCTATATAACTAAGACCTCCCCTAGAAAAGAGCTCAAGAGGAACATTATAAAGTTGGATCCACACTGGAATATGCTTAAAATCAAAGTCTAGTTTCTTTAAGCTCGGCTCCCATTTCCTTAAAACTAGGGGTTTAATTTGAATGTGCCAAGGGTCATTCTCCAAAACTCAATCCCTCATTTCAGCATTCGAAAACGTAAAGACATAGAGGTTAGGTCCAGCTAAGCTCACCTTGACCGAAGACAGCTTCCCCCACAGAATCTCAGCAATCCTCTGCATGGATCCAAAATTAGGAGGAGATCCAATAAATTGACCTACCACAACACAACTCCATTCAGCGATCCCTTCCTCAAAAACAGCGGACGGAGGCTTGACAGTAGCAGTTCCCTCCAAAACCTCAGGCGGAAAGAAATCTAAGGCATGCTCCTTCGTTCCATTGAAAAGTTTCCTCCAATCAAGAGCAGAAGCCAGCGATTCCATCAAAATTGAAACAAAATTGAGACGAAAACACTCAAAATTAAACAACCAAGAAGCATAAATTAGCAAACGAGAAGCACATCCGAGAGCCCATCAATCTTGCTAACGTGCGCCCGGAGAGGTTCCATCGTTCAATAATGTTAGATTTTTTAATCGAGCATACATATGGTTTGTATTGAATGAGCTTTTTTACTTTGAGGCTTTTGGGGCTCCAAATTATGCCTCCCCATGACCTTTTTGCAAAGATTGTTTATCTTTGGTACGCTAAAAAATAGTAATAGCAGAGTGAAGCCCAACACAAATATTTATATCGTGAGACACAACCTGAGGTTACTGTCCAACAATCAAAGGTTCCACACGTGGATTCATCACACGATTAGCTGCACTTTTAGACAACCTCTCATTGGTCCTTTCAACCCTGTCAACTAGATTTTTCGTAGCCCATGATGATTACCTGGTCTACTTGAATGTCTAATTTGGTCAACATCTTTTTGGAACATAGGGTTTCCATGAACCATTATTACTTGCTTCCTTTTATTTTTAGTATGGGCCGTACTTAATCGATATATATATATATATATATATATAAATATTCCAATTAAAGGTGGAAATTAATTGATATGTCTTTTTCAACGAATTGGTGGTGGACATTGTACCGACACCCATACGTACTGGTTTTAGGTAAAATAATTGACATTCATTTCAGAATAATTGGCTGTAGAAGAAACTGTAGGAAAGTAAACTCGTAAAACTACGCATCCAATACAAGGTCGGGGTTAGGATATTGAAGATTATGTATAAATTTTAAAAAAAGACGTTATTAAATTATTAAAAAGAGACCCTTAGTAAAAATTGTAAAGCTCGAATACAATAAATAAATGCAATATATATAAGGAGATTAGTGATATTACTAACTCAAATCCTAACGGTGTGGATTAGAGAGATTATAAAGATGAGCTATTTTTTCGTAAAGTAGAGTTAGACAAAAAAATGAGATTTTTATTATAATAAATCTATTTTTTTGGGCTCTTGCTAATCTGGAACCCTGTTCGGTCGCACAAATTGTGCTCCCTCTAGCCTCGCCTCTGCCAACATCGACTAGTAAACTGAGTAGTGTCATTTGGAGAGGATTAGTGTTTTGATTATATATCAGAAAAATGAATTTTAAAATACGTGAAATTATAAAATTTAATATATAAAATTATAGAAAAAAGAAAATAAGTTATCAATAAAAAATAAGATAAAATATATAAATGATATTTTGATTATAAGATGTTTTATTGAATTTTCAAATATTAAAAGTTATAGAATGACCCTTAATTATAGGACATTGTTTTATTAAGTCATCTGACTATAAAAAGTTATAAAATGATCATCCAACTATCTATAGGTTATGAACTCATAATTTTCTATTAAAAAATTAATTGCAGTTAGGACTTACCGTTAACCTGTTGACCGTGATATGATAAAATACGACCTCAAAATCTCAAACTACAATCATATCTCAGTCAACATGTTAACATTCAGCTCGGACTATCATTAATTTTTTTAAAGAAAAAAGACGAGTTTGAAACATATGAATTATCGAGTGACCATTTTATAACTTTTAATGATCGATTAACTCAACAAAGTAAAACTCTATAGTTGATATAACATCACATCAAAATGTATCAAAATGCATTAGAATGTATCAAAATGCATAAAAGGGACCGCAAAATGTATCAAAAAGCATCAAATTCCATACATAGAAGTTAAAATATGTTTTACATGCATAAAACATCACAAAATACTTTAGTTCTAAAAAAAATTGTACTCTACAAAGCTCTATAAAAGATTGTCTGATATACCTTAGTTCAATCACATCAAATACATCAAAAAGTAACAAAAGAAAATACTGGATGTTTTATAGTATTCATTTTCAAATAGGGTTATATATGATTTTCCTCCTAATAGGCAATTTGGGTCGTGTGCTTCCTCCATGTGATTTGTTGAAAGTTGATGAAGTTTGAAAAGATGTTGAAGGTGGAAACCCTGGTGCAGACTAGATGAAAATAAAGGTTGCATCCTTCTTATAACTTGAGATGAAGCTACTGCAGCTTGAGATGAAGATGGATGGTGCATCATTCTTAGAGGTTGAGATGAAGGTTCTGCAGGCTGAGATCAAGCTGTTGTAAGTTGAAATGAACATGTTGTAGGCTGCTGTTGCATCATTGTTGTAGTCTGATATGAAGATGTTGGAGGTTGCATCCATGTTATAGTCTAGGATGAAAATGGAGCAGTCTGATATGAAATATGAAGTAAAAATATGAAACATAAATAATAGTTTATACAAAACGATGAAAACACAATTTATGTCCTTAAATTAAAAAAATGTAACTTGCATTCTTTTTCTTAGATTTTTTTGCATTCTGAAAAATATTTGTTATTTTTTCATCATCATTGTCATTTAGCACTACTTCTCCCCCTAGATCTTTATATTCAGACTCAGTTTCAAGTCGATGGTAAGTCAAGTCACTTTCATCTTCAGTATCTTCTTCATCTACCACCCTATTAACATCACCAACATTAATACCCTCTTTACCAGCCTACACATTTGGCCCACCTTCAGTTGGGCCACCATCAACTGGCCCATTATTATCATCAAGATCATATACATCTTCCTCATTTAACCAGGTATGTATACTGCTAGTTCCTATAAAATCTACATTTTTCAACTCTAACCCATGGTTAACATATATCTGTATCTTCCCTTTACTAGTTAAATGATGAATCAGATTTAAATAACTTGAATTATCAAGACCTAATGTCCTCAAAACTCCATCTAAGCTATAACCTAGTTCTAAATATGATAAATAAGTTATTTTGTTTGTTGAACATCTTGTATCATCAACAAAAGCAATAATAATAGAATAACATAAATAATCATGATCAATTATCCTTACAATTTTTTGCCCCCAACATAATTCATCTTAGGTTTCCAAGTGAAGCTCCCCAAAATGAATTACCAAAGTATACTTCAGTCAAGTCATTTTCCTTAAATAATGAACATTTTAAACATCAATCTTAAGATAATGAACACATCAAATGCACATGAACTGAAAACAGTAAGCATGATACTTCACACATGTGAACATTTTAAATAATATTAAAATAATGAACATAAATATGCAGAGAATCTTAAGAAGTATCAACTTTCTATTTTATCTTTGTTTTTCAATGAAAATCTTAAAAAAAATATACCTTACTATGGAATATTTTGAAACCTTCAATTTTTTATGTCGCAAAAATAAAAAAAAATAACTTCATCAATCTAGATTTTCAATCGGTATAAATCAGAGGCAAACTTCATCAGAAACAATAAATCAAAAATTTTCAAAATCTTACCTTTATTTTTCTAGTCAAGTTTTTGATTTAGGGTTTTAAACAATCATCACTATCAATAAATTTTTTATCAATCAATCTTCTTCGTTGTCAAAATCATTTAAAGAAAGTTAATCGATTGTTAAATAAGACATGGAAGAAAATTGATTTTTAAGTGAGAAGTGAGAAAGAAAATCGTTGATATAAAAAAGAATAGGATGAGACAGTCTATTGAAACAAATGGAAACTAAATCGGTTCAAGAGTTTTATTTCACCCATTTTTTATTATTAAATAATATTTTCTTTTCTTTGTTTATGTTTTTCTGAAAAATTAAAGTTTGAAAAAAATGGTGACATGATGTGTTCTGATTGGTCTAAGAATTATTTTTAACGGTGTTAATGATTTGAGGTAAAAATAGCAACAATTTATAATTAAGAAAATAAAAAATCCCAAAAATTACTTTAAGGGATAACTCGGTACAAACGATATAGTTCACGAAGCAATGGTCCATTTAAGCCTAATTTTAATAAGAAGCGTGGGTGGTGTTGTATTTGAAATCTAGATGGACCGGTGGAAATCGAAAGTAATGGGTTTGGTCAAAGCCTTGTTGTTGAGAGGATAAACTTGTGACCAATAAATAAGTTAAGCCCATGGATCAACTACTATACTACCTTTCTTGGCCCAAGTTAACATTGTCTTGTCGGTTGTTTCAGCTGTTCGTATTATTATTTTGGGTGTGTTTGTTTATAGGGTAAAGTATAGTAATGGTCACTGAACATTTCTGAAGCTTGCATTTAGGTTCCCCAACTTTTAAAACTTGCAATACAGTCCCCCAACATTTATTCCGTTTGCAATATGGTCCCCAACTTAAACCGCCGTTAGAAATTAGGGTAAATTATATAAAAGGTTATTGAACTTTTCAGACACTTGAATTTAGATCCCCCAACTTTTAAAACTTGCAAAACAGTCCTCAATTTCATTCTAAACCCCAATTTCCAAAGTAATTCAATTTCATTCTAAACCCTAAATTCCAAAATAATTCAATTAAATTCAATTATGTCAGATTTATTATTATTTAATTTCATCTTATTTCATGTGATACGTATTTTTTATATAAATATAATAGTATAATTCTTATCTGTTGAAGAAATTTTTTAATTAAAAAAAGTAGTTAGTATATAGAAGAGGTTGAAAATAATTCGAATTCTAAATTTATAAAATGTTATTTTGACGTATAAATAAAAGTGTAAACTACTAGGTTGACAACTTAACTATCTAGCCCTTTTTACTTTTGTCATCGATCTTTTAAATTTATCAATCATACAACATAATTATTTAACTGTTTCAACTAAGCCACTAGTCGTTATCAATTGATACAAATGATGAAGTGGCAGTTAAAAGGAATTGACATTATTATACATTCAGTCTTTGTTATTTATATAATCAATTTGGTCCTAAATTAAATAGAATTTAATAAATTAATCATTTAATTAGGATCTGACATGTGTTAGCACATGATCATGACACGTGTCATTGGTGACACATGTCACCACCTAATTATTTATATATGCTATCAATTTGGTCCTAAATTAAATAAAATTTAATAAATTAATCATTTAACCAGGATCTGACATGTGTTAAC